GTGGAAGGCTCGATGATTGAGACCCACATGATAGATAATGTGTTGTGGAAAATTGAAAAAAAAACAAGTAGCTAAAATACATGTTATTATTTTTAATTTTTAATTTTTAATTTAGAATTATCTATGGAGAAATTCGACATTACTATTACAGCCAAACACTGAAAAACAACCAAGATTTTACAAGAAAGAAAGTGTGAAGTATCCAAATAATTCATATAATATAGTATATAAAAAAAAATTAGAGAAAATCGAAGATGATTCGAATTGGTTGTTGACGTAATGTGTAGAAGAATATTTTACAAAATTGTCAGTGTATGTTTTCAGAAATTCCTGTGAAGGAGACAAGCCGTATCCGTACAAATCTTGTAATACCCTATAGAATTCAAGATTCTGGGTCTTTTCAATTTTCACATTATTTCATTTTTCAAAAAAGTTTGTTTTTCTTGGGGGTTCTTTTCGTGTCAAGGAGTTGTTGTAGGTCTTTTCACTTGGAATTCTTTTCAATTTAGTTAGAACATCACAAGCAGTGCCAGTAACAAATCGATTTATTATTACACTATTTTCTAAAAAGTACATCATAAAAGGTAAAGTAAATGAATGGGAATCATGGAGTTCAGTTTCCAAACAGTACAAAAATTTGGATAAATCCGAGGAGAAGAAACGTTTATGGATCTACAAATTATCAGAAAATCATTACCTTTCGTATATTATAAAGAACAAAGGTCTAAAAACTTTTTATGAATCATACGGTGACAGTGAAGAGATAGAGCTTCAACACAACCGCAAGACCGAGCTGCAAAAGAAAGATACTCGCGATAATCAGGATCGATCTCTCTCCAGCGGAATTGATATGCGCTTTGAGGTTTAGAGCCACAAATGTTGCAGACATGAACCCGGCTACACCCGCGATAACCCATCTGAAGATCTCCACTGGCACAATCGAGAGGCACTGTCGAGTCAGAAACAGAGAAAAACTGTCAAAGTCTCATCATGTTCAGATGTTTTGGATACGAATCACATTTTTTTAAAAGAAGAAAATTGGTACCAATGCAGGGATAAAGATGAACAGGGAATAGCCGTAGAGACAGAAGAGTTGGACTAGGCCTGATGGTGCAGAGAAGTATTTGAGAACGACATATAATGCTAGAGGAACAATCGTGACATATCCATAGAACACTCCTGCAGACCAAGTCACCAGATTAATATCGTAGTTCCATTCTTGTTTCTTCCATTTGTGTGCTATGTATGTGACAAATGTGCCGATAGATGCTGCCACGAATATCAATGTGGTGCATATCCAGAATGGACCATACCTGCAAAATACAATCAACTTGTAGCATTTGAGAAATGATATAAAAAAACCCTCTCTAAGTTGAAAAAGAAAATAAAAAGACAGAACTCTTACAAGTCAGGCTTATCAGCTGTCTTCTCTGTAAATGTTCCACGGAATGGGAAGAGAGATTCTTTAAGTCTCTCTACAACATCCGAAGTGTCGACATCGAAGAATGGCTTGTAAGCACCAACAGTGAATTTATGGAGCCAGCCACCAGATTGAGGTTCATCTGTACTACCATTACCATGTCCAGAAAATGTATCTGCATCGGGATACAAATTTTATACTATAAGCCATAATATATACCAAGGCTAGCACGGGGCAATCAACATAAAGCAGTCGATGAATCCTAAATTCCTCAATCGACTAGATTAACATTCGGAAATTCTTAAATATTACAGAATAAAAACTCTTGAGAAATCATACCGTCAGCATCTCGAGGGGGATTACTACCACCAGAGATCTTGCCCTGAGTAGCAGATGGAGGAAAAGTTTGTAGATTTGATTCTGC